GAGAGAAACGGACAACTCGACGCCTCAAGTCCAGAGGAAGGAGCGCCAGCCGTGCTGACCTGAGTCATCAGAAGACTCGGCGGGACCAGCAGACTGCGTTTAACCAGGAAAAGGAGGCTCTCTGGGCGGAGAGGGAGGGACCGCAAACCGCGCGGTCCAGGCGGGAAAGGCTCGCGCAGGGGAGGGGGGGGCAGAGCCGCAACGGAGGCTGGTGCTCAGGCTGCAAAGTGCTCTTTAAACACGAGGCCCCCACGTGACAACTGACCAGAGGTCGCGACCGTTTCCACGGAGAGGCGACACGGTAAGTGGCGCTCGGGGCAATCAGCCCGGTGTTCAGTGCGGACGGTGTAAAACCAGAGCCGGTCGCGGGGGAGGGAGGACGGCAGTGAGTGGCGAACCAACAGCAGCAACATCCAAGTGGAAAGATCCAAAAAGCAGCTGGGGACACGCAGGGCTCCGAAGGAGGTCAGGAGTGGGCGCAGCGATTTGGGATCTGGGTGACACCCAAAAATACCGTCCTCATCCAACAGCTGGAAGCACGCTCCTTCCCTCGCACCTGCATCAACCGGCGGGGAGCCGCCTGCACCCCAGCAGCTGCCCCGCAGGACGCAGAGCTCGGCGGGGACCACGGGCGACCCTGCTAAACATCAGCGTCGCAGGAGCCGAGGGGAGCACGTAGAAGAACCGCTCAACGGGGAAATTATTTGACCTTAAGATAATTACTATAAAATGTCTACATGATGGGTTTTTATTTCCTGGCACCTAAACACTGGCCGTGCAAAGACCAGGACTGCTCCCTATCAGGATGGCACACTTCTCCGTCACCCCTGCGTCGCCTACCGTCAGCCACGCTTCTGCAGCCGCCCCACACGTGAGCTTCTTGAGGAAACTGGCAAACGAAGTCACACAGAGAAAACGAGGGACCCTGACGCTCAGAGGCTCCTCCACGTGTCAGGCGCCTCCCTGAACCCGCATCCCGCCCTCAATCCCAACGTCTTCTGGCTCCCACTTTACAGACAGGACCCAAGGGCACAGCTGACCAACGCAGGGCCCGCGCTCTAACCATCCACACGTCCAAAACTAACAAGGGTTTAGCAAGATCACCGGCTCGAAGGTAAAGACGGACGGTGCAGGGCCACCTGCTCTCGCCGGGGCACCGCTCGCAGACCCAGGTTGCAAAGCGTGGGCTTCAGAAAGGTCCCAGGGCCAGGAAGGGACAGGCCCACGGCAAGCCAAAGGCTGTTTTAAATGACAAAACTGACTTTTCCACCCTAAAGACTGCAAACCTGCAGAGTGAACGTTACAGAACAGGCCACTTTCAACACCAGGTCTTCAGGGAAGAGACGTGCTTAAGAGACGACCTCGAAATGCCTGTCATTTCTCCCAAGAGGACAAGGCCACCATTTTCTAAGAAACGGTTTGGACTCGTGGCACATTTTGAAAGAACCGAAACAGCACATTAGGAGATAAACAGGCAAATCAAAGATAAGAGGTTTCGCCCTCTCCCCATGTGCAGCCTGGAGATAAGCGACTACCTGAGGGGCGGCCACCGTGTGAAACTCCACTCCCAAGCCTGCGAGGACACGGGACTAGTTCTTCCTGCGCACCAGGCCGTGAGCAGAACCTACCCCGGCCCTGTCATCATCAATCTCACGGGATCTCGGTTTTGAAATCTGCCATCACCTGAAACGCTTGAGGTACAGGCGGAGGGGTGGAGACAGAATTGCCCAGGGCATTCTCTGTAACTTTCTACAACGCTGGGTTGGTACCAGCTGCATCCACAGGCAGTGACCTCGAGGTCTCTTTAAAGCAGTGCCTGTTTCCCGGCCCCTCTCCCTTCTGCAACAGGACTCCCTCCAAAGCTGGGCCTCTGGTCGGTCACCCACACTCCCGGCCACAGAGGCAGCCAGATACAGTGGGAACAGGGGCTCTGGGTTTAAGAAGACCAGGCTTCATCGCAATGATTGTCTGAGTGCGAGTTTCCCCCAACTCCACCTCGCTGCAGCACCACCCCTGCCCTGTGCCCCTGGCCCTGAGTCTTCTGCCACAATGTGCTGCGCCCGGGCCTTCTGCACACGCCCGGGCCCTCTGTACACGCCCGGGCCCTCTGCACACAGCCGGGCCCTCTGCACACGCCCGGGCCTTCTGCACACGCCCGGGCCTTCTGCACATGCCCTGGCCGCTCCTGCCTCCTGTTCCTCCTCTAACCCTCACAGGGTCGGCTCTTTCCATTGGGCCCCAGTTGGACACCATCTCCTCGGATATACTTCCCTGACCCCAGTGGGTTCATTCCCACTTCAACTCTCCCCATAACAGCTGTCACTACCCTGTAAAACACACAGGTGTGTTTATCCCGCCTCCTCCCACACAGCACATCAGAACCTCGGGGACAGCGGTGCACCTCTGGGTGTCAGGACGCCTAGAATGGGGCCCACCCCCAGCAGGCACCAGAATGTTGCCTAAGTGTGAAGATCCGAAACCCGGAGCTGTGTCCTCAGACAGATGCCAGTGAAAAGTTTCCTCCCTCCTCCCGCTTATCACATGCTGGGCTAGGTGCTGGGCAGCATTCCTGAGCTCCCGGCACCACCTCCGCCCTCCCGCTGCCCCAGGAGACCACAGCACCTCCCACGAGCTCCTCCAGTCCCTGCACCTGGACGCCTCAACCTCGCCACGGGAGCCGGACTTCTCTGTGACAAAGGGGCGCACGTGGGAGGGGAAGGACCGAGTGAGCGCTGGTGGGCGGGAATGGGAGTGTCAGCGTGAAAGGTGGTGTTTTATATCCACCCGCGGAGAGGAACAGATGTAGCTTCGTGTTACGTCCGCACACGCGTGTTTCCTCACTTGTCAGCTAAATGAGCACACACCTGTAACCTGGACCCCGATACCTTTCCCGCTGGAAGGAACCAGGGCTCCCGGAGAAATGGCTGCTTCCAGGGCCGAGCAGGAAAAGTGCAGGATAAGCCAAGAATCTGTGTGTGTGCGTGTGTGTGTGTGTGCACACAGAGATACACATGTACACGCATACACATGTACACACGCGTGCACATATACACACATGTATGCATGTGTACACACATTCACTAGTACACACTAGTTCACATGTACACACACTGTGCGGGAGGGAGGGAGGGGAGAGAGAATAAAACGAATGGGACCAAGTGCTGACAACGGGCCAATCTGTGTAACGGGCACGCGGAGTTCTCTGTAGCATGTCAGACATTTGAGATTATGCTGAAAAACAAGGTTATGGAACCTTGAGATTCTCAAAATCAACCTTTTCCCCTCAACTTGAGCATCTTCTCGTGTCCCTGACACCCACGAACCACCTACCTGCACACCCGGAATCCTGGGAGTCATCACCCCCCCAATCCAGG